GGATTTTTAAAGAATTTACAACCTGATTGCCAAATGATAAGGTGCCAAAAGCTGGAGAAATCATAAAATCTTTTTCCACTCTGAATTTTGTTTTTTGGCAGGAGACAAGGAGATAAGACTGAATTGCAACCATTTCAGTCTGGTTTTCTCACACTTCACACTCAGGGGAGCTCAGCAGAGTGGGGTTAACTATCAAAAGTTTATGTTGGTTCCATTAACTAGTGTGAATTTAAAAATGCATTGCCTTGCAATATGAGCAAAAGCTTCTTCTCTAATAGAAAATAACTATATCCTGATGGAAACTCAGTAAATGAAGGTTAAGCAGCAAGAAAGTCTTGAAATTATAATTAGTAATGATTTTTTTTCTTTTCTTGAATTAACCAGATGGTTTGTTGCTATCTTTTTCTTGATTTTCAATTTATTTTCTATTGAAAGAAAGCAGTTTGAGAAGGCTGTGGTTATTTCAGGTTACTACTGAAAGAAGTTTACTGTTCTCCTTATGAATCCAAATGGGAAGGCTTGTGCACTTTGAGACCATCAGACCAATTATGATCTGACAACGAGAGCATACAAATTTTCTATTTTGCACAATTTTAAAAAGCACCATAAAAATGCTGTGCTTGGATTCTATGAGATCATTTCATCCTATATAAGGAAAGCAACAGTTTTGTCTTGAAAACTTAGCAGTAACGGGCAAATTTCAACAGCAATTTTGGCCTTTAAAACTCTTATTTTATTAGGTATTGTTAGAATTTAGTACCTGAGTAATGAGGCTTCCCACCCCTGCTTTTTAATAACTATATCTGATTTAACGCCTCTAAAAATTCTTCTGACATCTGAATAGCTCTGTTTTACCTCATCCTCATAACACTTTGTATGATAGGTAACCAACAGCCAATACAATTGTGATTGAGTTCTGTACTTACAAATCACACAAAACTAAGAAATCATGGAGTTATGCAATGGACCTCATTTCTCAAAGAAAATGGACAAAGTCATATGTCTTTAAAATGAAGGCCAAAAATTGCAAACGAAACAAACTAAATTTGCATGTTCTTGTTCTTAAAAAAGCCTAAAACCTTTCGGATTCCTATGAAATCAAACAAATATATAGGCATTCTCAACCACAAGAGGGCATCCATGCTTGCAACCTGATCCTTGAAGATTATCTGTAAACAGATGTATCTATCTGCCTATCTAGCCATCTCTCTATAGACATAGACATGGATACAGATACAGATATATTTCTTTCTGTTAGGTCCCAGCTGTGGTATAGAACACATCTGCTCTAGGAGGCTTCCTCTTTCAGAGTCCCATGATCCTTCCCAGTGTTGGTAAAGGATAGTACATGAAGTCTAATTTTGCTGTCCGTAACACTCTCATGGAATCCAACTTTCTCACTCCTGCACAAGTTATGTTAAACCTCCCATGGTTTTCACCGAGGTCGATCCAACTCATCTCAAATTCAGGGGGGAACAAACTGATCTCAGAGAAGAGGAACACACAGCTTCCCAAGGATAAGTGTGAAAGGTCAAGTCTAGATTTTCTGAAGTCATTTATTACCCCAGAGAGACGATTTGGGATCACTAAAACCTGCTCAGCATCAATCTGAAGTCATGACTGTCAGAGGTCTTACTCTCCCCATAATTTGTTCCACAGGCACTTCACTGTTGTGATGAGGGGAGGGTGCTGTTTGTTTTGGTTTTGAACAGGAATACATTTTCCTCTCTGATGCACATAAAACTCTCATTAGAGCCTGAAACAACCATAAAAATGAACTCTGAAAGCAAATCTGGCATAGTGGTAGTAAATTACATGCTTAGCTGAAAAAGATCTCACAAACACTGGAGTGTATATGGTAATATTGGAAGTAAACCTCATCTTCACAAAAACCAATGTATAACTTCAGCACCAGAACACATAGGTTAGCACCAAAAGATATCAAATTCTACCCATCACCATAGATGTTTAAATGAGGCAAAAAATCACAAGCAGATATTATAAAAGGCTGCACTCAATAATTATATCAATTACTTCATTTTTACTCTTGTGCCTCTCACGATATTTTGACCAAAAATATTTTTAGCCTTATTTTAGTGTGTGTATACTTTCATAATTTTATATTTAGAACAGAAGAAAAGTCTGAGCTAATTTCTCTGTCTTTAAAGGCACACCACTCTGCTTGGAAGGAATTAGTACAAATCTTCAAGGCTAGCAGAACAGCAGCTGGGGGTAGTTGGCCTCAGCATAACCTTGAACTCATCAAGAATTTTTGTCAGCATGTATCAGAGCAGATATACTGCCAAAGACATCTGAAGTCTTCCGCCCCTTTCAGTACTTTTGCTCTAGCAGCACTCGGTGTCAGGTAATCAATCAGGCAGCACTGACACTGGCAATCAAAGTAGAGCTTTACTGCCATTGTCATTACCCAACCCAAGAGAAAAAAAGATGATACAAATTGGGGCGATTCAAATAGGTAATACAGAAATGCCTTCAGTAAACTACTTATTAAATAAAGTGGAAGGGCAAATTTTGTGTGGTAACAAAATATCTGATGAACTGTAATCCTCTCTGTTCAATGAAAAATATTCAGCTAATGCTTGAGTGCTTGTGACTGGTTTTATCAGGAGCTGCTCGTATGAAATAGCTTATACCCAGATCATTTTTTGCTGCTGTCAATTACAGTGTGATTACAATAGTTAATCCCTAGCACCATTATAGGATGTTGTGAAAAAAACCTGCATACCTGCTTGTTAAAAGCAAAGTTTTCTATATCCACAGAAAACAAAATATTCCACAAAATCAAGGTATTTGTAGCAACTTAAAAAGTAACAGATACGATAACATATATACCCGTTATAATAATTTCAGCTGAATTACAGAATTATAAATTAATATACAATGTCTAGTCCTGTTTGGAAAGTGTACCATACAACTTACAAGTTGCAAGTTTCAAAGTGCATAGTCATTTATTGTTAAACCTACTGTTGTAGGCTCCACGGCTTAACCTGAACTTTTGCTTATGCTCTGCTTCCTATTTTGTATTCAGAAAAAAAGAATACTGAAAATGGCTAGATGCGCTGTTTTAACTGTGCTGTCTTTACCTCTACAGAAGGTTTCTTATGCAGAACAAAATGTATTTGTCCCATGCATCTTTGTCAAAAACTGGGCTGGCTGAGGGCTACTGACCCACCTAGGAGTTTTGTCTCACTGAATTCTTTAAATGTGTACATAGATGATGCAAAGAGGTTGTGTTTCACTCCCAAAACAGGACTGGATTTTACTCAGCCAAAGTGTTTGACTGATTGAGCACTGTCCAAGTCCAAGCCCCTTTGAAACCAAAAGGAAAACTATTTATATTGTAACTGTTAGAATAAAAGTTAGTAGAATATTACAAGTGTTATTCTTTTAAAACATGGACACATTTTAAGACAATGTACTTATCTAGTTATTGTCCTGTCAGATACAGAAGCGTCACTAACCAGAAGTGACTGAAGAGCCACAGATCAGTTGCTGATGTTCTCTGAGGGATCAGATTATGGATAGATGGAGAAGGGCTGTTAATGTTTCATACGCTGTAGAGCCCATTCCTCACACACAGCTATCTTGCTGGAGAAAAAGAATAACTAACGTGAAGAATTCAAACTCTGATCTTTCTTTTTACATCACCAATGTGATACTTCATGTTCTGGTGACAGACTGTCTCAAACACCCTCAAAAAGGTGGACTTGGTAGTGTGAGGTTAATGGTTGAACTTGATCTTAAAGGTCTTTTCCAACCTAAATGACTCTATGATTCTATGAAAGGACTGAATTAGTGACTTAAAGACACATACATATGTAGCATTAGTGAAATTATCCTCTGTTATTCTGCTTGCTCTACTCAGTATTGCTTTTCAAAGTTCATAAATTTCAGAGGTCTAAATGTAGCAGTGCAAGCAGACTAAACATGTGTATTTAAAGTGGAGTACATTCTGCCCTGTAATATAAAGCCAAAACTCGAGGCTATTTCAATGACATAGTAGTTGTGGCAGACATTCGATTTCCTCCTTTTTATAATCTGTTTTTCAAGAAAACTATTTGTATCATATTCTAGCTTAAAGTGTAGGTCCTTTTTATAAATGTACTAGTAAGTACCCATAAGGCACTCGGTTTTTGGCAGGAAAGGCATGAATAAACAGATTTGGGTTTTATTAATTCATACAGATATTTTCAGCAAATAGTGCAATATATTTTAAAGGACACTGCCAATTGGCTTTAGAAATTTGAAATTTTTGTCACAAATCTGTATGAAGTTTTAAAGTTGCCTGATGTCTTTTATTTGGAAATCCTCCTATCTACTTTTACATCTGATCTCCCCTTGATAGTTTCACCTGGCTGAGTTTCAGTCAGGGGGATAGCACATACACTGGCAAACTTATAGTATAAAAGACAGTATGGATGTCATGTATTGACATATGTTGCTTTGTAGCAATATATTTCTTTACATTCCCATACAAGAATAAATATACTGCTGCAAAAGCACCACTGTACCATTATGACTGTGTTCAGAAACACGGGAAGGTAGAGTTAGGCTGTGTTATTATACCAACATATTTAAAGTGATGTAGTGTTCTATCTAGTTAAGACTTTTGGCATGTGAGTTAACAGCCACTGCATATTGGCCAGTGTGGTTCCTCATTCTCTTTAATCTTCCTGTCTGCACACAGGCATCATTGATGATAGCAGCAGCCGTGTGCTGAACTCTTGGAATGACATAAATGAATTAATGTTGTGCATGAGGTAGGTAATATCCTGCAGTTTCTCTTGCACATTTGTTTTCCTCTGCTCAGAGTCCCATTGACATTGCAGGTGAAAGCACAGGTGTAAATGGGAGGAACCATTGGGAGTGTGAGAACAATTTGTTGCTTTCCATGTCACACTCCATTTTTAAAGCACAGTATTAAACAATGACCCTTCTCTTTCTGGAGCTATTATTTTTAAAAGAAAGTCATATTCTATCTTTTAATGTTCTTTTAATATAACCTAATCTTCAGGAAGCTACACTTGCTAAGGTGAAAATTAGTTTGCTCTCCTTTAACAAAATGTTAATCTAAAAGGGTTAATGTGAGTCTTAAAACCCAAAGTGTTAAAACCAAATTATACTATACTTTGAAAGCTAATTATACAAAAGCATACAAAAAGAAAACATCAGAGTATTATTACAATATCTCTCTATATATAATATGTGCAAAATTCAATATACAAGCTTCTTGTTACTCATCCATGGTTTTTTTTTTTTAAAATAATGTAAACCTTAACTTATTTAAACCAGTATAAGTAGTTTGATGTTACTCCTGGGAAACAAAGATTGTCGGTACATGAACCTCCATAGCTTGGAGGACAAGCTGAACATGGGACCCCTACTTTATATGGTGCTTCTCCAATCCAATTCCCCCTGAAAATAAAAAAGGAAAAAGAATGCTTAGTAATTTCAGAGAAGAAGAAAAAAAATTTATTAACCATACTTGTTTTGAGTGATTGAGGTTAATGTCTTCAGTCATATCCTATAAATGCCCTGTTACTGAAAACATACATTAATATATTTCTGTAGGTTACTGACAAACATTGATCTACCAATTCCCAAAAACCAGCAGGAGAATGACCATGTCACTCCATGCCAGTGGTCCATTACATATCTTTTAGTCTCTGTGGTGAAGTCCCAGTCTTCTTGCATTTGCTACAGCCAAGTGATTTTTGACTCCCCAAGCCTGGGACAGAGTATTTTTTACTGGAGAGCTATATTTATGAGAAATTAGCAACATAAGCATTGGTGCAAGGTTTTGTTTGAGCACTTTGTTGTCTGGCTGTTTTCTTAAAAGCTTGTTTTTGGAAGGTGGAAAAACAAACTGAGAGAAATCTTATTCTTAGGTTGCACTACCCTAGGTCCACACTGTGAAGCTCTGAGGCTGAATTCGTGGTTAGAGAAAAGGGAAGATGAAAACTATTCGCAGCAGTAATGTACTAAAAAGAACTGTATTTGGGCATTTGTAGGGGGTCTCATAGGTGTTAATGGGAGGAGGAGGAGGGCTCCCATCTGGTGAACAGAGCTGTCTAATAGAGCCTGGAGGAAAAGGGATACAAGTCTGGAGAGTGATCATGTGAAAAGAGCTAACTGAAAGATCTAGGAACATCTGAAAAACGCATCCAGACTTCTAGGTGCTTATGTAAACCCCAGGCTTTTAGAGATTCATGTAACACTTGTGATGTAGGGAGAAAGTAAGTTAAAATTAGATTTTTATTTAAATGTTATGTCTCACTGAGCAGAGAACTTTCCTCTAGTTTGCATGTGACGTGGTATAGCAGTGAGTAATGCAATTATTTATGAAACATTTTCTCATCTGCCACCTCCCAGCCAATAATATTGGATCAAAAGCCCTGGTCTGGGTTGTGCCTTGGAAGAAAGTAGGAATCTCTCAAATAATTTGCTCATTCCTACTTCTCTTCCAAATGGGTACAGCAGACTGAGTGCTCAGGAAATATATTTAGTTTGATAACAGATATGGAAATCCAGAAAAAGTTTGCTGAAAGCTGACTTGTGCTTCATTTTCTGTGCAATGTGTGGCTGATTTGTGTGAGTCTGTTAGATAACCAGGTGCAGGGCCTTTCTAAACTTTGTAATTTTCCTCCTTAACTTTTTTTGCTCTGATTTCAGAAGCATAGAGATTTTTCAGCATTACAGCATGGCATCAGTGAAAATTAGTGGAGCTCTAAATCCTAAATCTTTGCCAAATTCCAATCTGAATAACTTGAGTCGGGGCTGTAATATTCACCCCCTTCTTCTTCAGAGGAGTTTCTGATGTGATGGTTACTCAGAAGGACACAGCCTTTATTGACTGGCAGAGAGACTTCTGCATGTGTGCCCAAGGACTCTAAGCCCAATGTCCTTAATTCAACTTAATTCTTAGGAATATAAACTTAAGCCAGGCAAGACCACTGAACATCCTTTTTGTGACTGTGCAAGAAGTAGATGTGACAATCCCAATTCCACCACCTATGAATCAAAGGTCTACTCAAAATCTCATCCAGAGAAGAAAGCTTGTAACACCAGGCTTTGGTTTGCTGTTTGATTTCACCTTGTCCATGCTGCGGAGCTATAAGTCAGATACAATTTTTGCCGCCTGATTTTTGCTCCCTCACATTCATTTCTTACCACCCTCTTCTAGTAGATATTAAAGACATAAGGACAGAGAAATCTCCTTCATTTCCAAAGGCCTTTTTTTTCCAAGTCAGTTTTTTAAGTTGCAAAATCTTTAAAAATGCTTTTACTCATATAACAACTAGAATAATGACATATTCTTGCATATTCTTTACCACAAATGGACCTGTGCCACTGACAGTTTATGGAAAACATGCTCAATTAATTATACTTAGATTCCTATACAGAAGTATGTCTTTGCCAATATTACACAGTCAGCGAAACCAGCCATTTACACTGTCCATCCTGCTTCTGAAGCACTGGTCCAAAACAGACCTCAAATCAAAGCTCTTCCAGAGCCACACTTTATTGATTCATTCTGGACCCAGATGTAAGCTTGGGATGATGTCTAGGAAATGCTGGGAGAAAATTAATTTCTTCATTTGAACCTAAAACAGATCTCTGCACAGCTATGTGATATAGGGCCACCTATGGGTGTCTATGACCTATACTTTGAATGACCCTAATATGGAAGGCAAGATGAGATTTGTAGACACTGAGCTTAGGTAGATGGACTTTGTAGGAAACCTATGCTATGGATGCACTTATGCAGCATGGTCATAAGCAAAGGTGGGCAACAACACATGTTCACAGTAAATCAAGGGCCTGATCTACAGTGGGATTGCTTACCTGAGGAAGTCTAGATCACCATAAGTATACATAACAGAGTGAAGAAATAAGGAACTGAAAGTAAAGTGGAGTCAGCACAAAGGAGGAAGACAAAAAGAATTATAATAATAATAATAACAACAATAACAGAAAACAAGGTTTTGGTTTTGTTCCATACACATCAAGTTATTTCCTTTTCTTCTTTGTATACCAAAGTCATGCATTTTCTGTATGCTTAGATGTAAATTTAAAAGGAAGGAGCAGCCCGTAGAAGAAGCACAAATAGAGGTCAAGCTAAAGATAAAGGAGTAAGCAGTCCTATGAGAGGACGAAAACATGCATGAAGTATAAAAATAAACAATATTAAAAGAAAGCAACTCACTTTGGGGCATAGTTGCATACCAAGTAAACAGCTTGTCGCCAAACAGATCCCCAGACGTTCATATTGTGGCATGTGTGGATTGCGCAGCCTATACGATTGGAAGTGGCCCAAACCATCTGAATAAATATTTATTATTGGTGAAGTCCAAATTGAAAAGAAATATACATATACACATTTATTTGAGAGAGAGCTATAAATACATCACAGAAAAGTCCAGCTTTGGACGGTAGATTTTGAATAGAAGAATGTAATTTATATAACCTGTGTGTAATGGGTGCACATGGGTCCATAACATCGCATGGGGCACCTGGGGTTGCAGTCCTGAGGGTAAGGGAAAGCGTAATCCTTCACCTCATCATACCATGGCTTTACCAGCTGGAGAATAGATCGATACCTGGGTTTGTTTAAAAGACAGAAAGAAAAGCGTGTCATTTTAGATTTAGGTATTTTGGAACTTTCCACTGCTCATCCCTCTGATGCAAGTCACCTAAATACACATTTCTCCATGCATCACTAGGGGCACAGTATTAAGCAATAATACTCTTCAGCTAAATGAACATAGATGGAGATCAATTATTGCTAGAATACTGGATGACACTTGCATCAGTCTAAGATCAGGGTCTCAAAGGCTGTTCAAAGGCTGACAAAATAACTGTTTTGTAGGGTATCTGCCTACCTTCCAGTTCTTACAGACAGGTTCTGGCCCAAGAATCTCAGTAAATAGGAAGGTCCATGGTCCCAAATGCATGTAGCAGCCCACGCCTCTGCAGATTTGGCAAGAGTTTCATCCCAAACCTGACAAAATAAAATATCCTTAGCAGTAGAACAGAAAAAACAAATAGCGATCACAGTTCAAGAACACAAGAAGCAGGTCTCTTAAGTCACAAATATACTATCATAACACATCAGATCTGTAACAAGGCAGAGAGCTCTTGAATTCAGAAACCTGTGGGGCAGCATGTACAGGATCTAGCAGGATTTGCCGTCGCTGGACAGAATTCCCACCCACATCATTAGAGGAAGCCAAGTATTCAGAACTCTCCTTTTATTTCTGGAAAAGCCCTTCCATGAACAGGCATTCTCCTACCATTTTCCCTTCTGTGTTGATGAGATCCATGTGTGGAGAGGAGTGAAACATTGGATAGGACTCAGATAGAAGTTAAAGCAAAGTAGAGGCACACAGGGAAGAATAATTCAGCACAGGTATTACACACCCCACAAAACCCCAACACATTTGAAATAAGATCTCAGGAGTATCTATAGCCAGAGAGAGTGTGTGTGGCAGCTCTTCATATTTGAGGCCACAAGGTCAAGAAAAGGGATTCCACAAAGGCAAAGACTATGGACAGTTTCCAGGTGTGGTATGAGTTTCATCATTTTATTCTGCATGGGAGCTGACATTGCTCCCTGCCTGGAATAAAAAGATAACAGCTCTGTAAGAAGAGACAATTTGACTTCTTAAGTTCTCCTCTAAAGGCAGGAACATGACAAGTGAACTTAAACAGTCTTCTGCTTTTCCTGCTCACTTACATGCTTGATTTGTAACTCCACTGTTTTCTCCACAGCAAATAGGCTTTCCTCAGCAGTAATGGAGATATCAGCAATAGAATGTAGTGCACCACTGGAGCTCCAGATAAAGAATATCTCACTGTTATATTACAAGTACACACAAATCCTAGTATATCTTAGTGTTTGAGTGATACACAAGTAGGCTCTAGATCCTGGAATTAGATATGCATTTTGAATACCCTGAGTGGAATGTTTTGGTGCAGGACAGTTCTAGTGAATTGCAGGTACAAAGGCAGGAACAGAATGTGGTAAAATTGCCTACCCAGCCCATCACAGCTTTTTAAACACTTACCCAAACTCATAAATCTTGAGTGGCTACGAAATAAAGAGTATGCTCTCTGAGGTACAAAACAAGAGGCAAAGTCAGAAATAAACTTTTCAAAGGATCAGGTGGCCCACATCACAAATATTTTCTGTTCTATGAGCTAATAATGATTTCTAACACTGAATTCATAGTTTTAATTTCACAAACCTGCAGAATGAAAAGATCATGGACTAGGACTGTAATTCATGCCCTGACTCTGTCTGGTAGTTTGTGAAATTTCTCTAAGTGAAAAGGACAAAATGTAGTAAATTGTATGAAATTGCTATATCATTGAACCAAGCTTCTGCTAATATGGAGTGGGTGAGGTACCTCCTAGATTAAAGCTGAAGTGCAACAGAGATCAACATGAACCCTTAATGCAAATGATCTTCCATTCAAGTGGAACCACTTTAGGGAAAGTAAGATAGATGGTGCTTAAAGCAGAGCAGGTTTACTTTACACCTATTCATAAAAGGTCCCCAGACAAAGTCAAAGCAAATCGCCAGTAAAAGGACAAAACAGAGGAGTGTTAGGAGGAAGCATGCTAAGAAGGAACGGTCTTCAAGCCATTCAACTTTGACTTCAGCTCTGAAAAATGGAGTTTCTTGGAGGAGTTAGACATAACTCTATAACTTGGGAAGAGAAGGCTAAGCTGGAGCACCAGGGTACATGAGAGGGAACCCAGGGCTGCTACAGCACCATCCAAAAGCCAGGAAATGCTCCAGGGCCCAAGAGGAAAAAAACTGTCTACAGATATTTGTTCTGCTTTGGATCTCTGACTTTAAGTCAATTAGCTGCATGGGGCCAGTGTACAAATAACCCTTTATAATCTCTGTGGTATATCAGTGGTCCCAAGAAGAGGGCCTAAAGAGGGGGCAACAGGAGGTACAAGCATAAAAGTGTGCCTGGGAAGTGTGCCTGAGAGGCCGGGGCCACAGTCGGCGTTTGGAGCTTGCCCAGGCCCAGGGGAACGGAGGAGCACATGGATCCAGTGCGTGGGTCCAAACACAGCTGCCTGGTGTGCATCCATAAGGGGCAGCTCCGCCAGGACTGTGACACCCCATAAACACCCTCCTTTGCTGGGATTAATCATGCTTCTGGCACGAGCGCTCCCTGCCAGGAGGCTGAACATGAGGTTTGCGTGCTTGCTCCCAAGTGACCTGGCTGCAGTCCCACAATAATCTAAATGTGTACTGTATTTGCACAAATAGCACCGAGCTCCTGATTTCTACCTAGCATATTTTTGCGCACTAAATTGCCTCGCAAAATAGTATGTTAGGTGTTTGAAAGGAATGTGAAGACTGGATTAGGTTTTCACTATTAACGCCCTCTCTAAACCAGATGTGGCCCCCTCCTTGGACAGTGAGAGCATTGCCAGTCCACTTTCATTTCTCCTCAGCTTCATTTTCTGGTTCTCAGGAATCATCTGCAGCATTTGATTGGTAAAGTTTCAGAAGGTTGTTTCAAACTCAGTGAAAAAGTTGTGGGTTTGGCAGGTAAGCATTACTGTGATATATAGTGTGCTCTGCTTTCCATTATCTATTCACTCTTGACCACTCTCTGGACATATGAAATTTTTGGCAAACGTAAAAAATGAGAGAGAAAGAGAAAGAAAATAACCACTGAATAAGAAATAAGGAGGAGGGGAGCACATGCAGCATCTTTTAATTTCCTCCATTCCTTCATTAGCAGGCTGGTGAAAAGCCTTTGCACAGAGTCCCCTCCTGCTACGTAAATCATTTGTATTTCATGGGAGAAGATTTAGTGCTTCACCTTCTTTATTTTATTTTCCTCGAAGAAAAGGTGGTCCCAGTCCCTCTACGACTAGCTCTAGGTCATCTCCATGAGAAAAGGCAAATAATTAATATAGACTGAAGCGCAAAAATTTTTATCTCATAATGACCTCAAATCTTCTAACCTAAAAGAGACTGTACTGTTAGTTCACCCCTTTCAAAGGAAGTATGATCCTGAGTCCACACTTGTACTAATTTGTGTCTCAGTTCAGTCTCCTGTTTTGGGCATGTAAGAGAGCAGGGCAAACACATTTAAATTTTGGAACCCATGAGGCTTCATTGTTGTACACAGATAAACAGCATATAAAGAAATAGAAAAATATCCTAAAAAGAGAAACTGAAGTGACTCGAACACCAGAAGGACAGTTTCTGTAGGAGGAGAAATTAAAAAGCTCAAGATAATTAGCAAAGAGTTTAAAAAAACAGTGTGATAAACAAAATTATAAACTCTGAAATTATGGCCAATCCAGTGTTTCTATTAAACATGTCAGAGAAATCTGCCTGACATGAACACAAAATTGCAAAAGGGAAAAAGGAGAATGATCTGCATACTCAGTGGGTCAAGATGTGAGGAGGTGACTCATCCTCAAATGCTAATCATGCAAACTCCCAGTGCCAAACTATGCTCATTCTCTCCCTGGGGATAGCAAATCTTCATTTGCTAGGTCATTAGCAGTTGGGGAAGAAGTCACCTTCCTTCCACTCCCCCCCAAACTCTCCAGATCACTAATTTGACCCAGCATGGAAACCCTCCCCACTCCTCAACTGGGTCTAATTGAGCTGCGATAGAGTTAAAGTGTCTCACCACACTTCCACTGGCAACTTGAAGTGAACATCCTTTGGACAATTTATTTTTCTTTCCTCAGCCAAAGATTATTTTCCTAGAAAGCTGTCTGACTGTGCTCTCTGCACTGCTCCCTGCAAAACTACACTTCAAAACTACACTTCAGTTGAAAATTGTCAAGCAGACTGAATACAGGGAACAGGCCAGTGTTTCTACCCAAGGAGTTTCAACACCAGAGACCACTTTATGAGGCTTTATGAGGCAGCTCTGGGGTGTTCTCTGCACTCACACAGCACATGCTGGTTGAGACTTAGGACTAAAATCTTAGCATTAATAAAGTCAGTGGGAATTTTGCCAGGGAGGCCAGAATTTCACCCAAGATGTTTTTTTTTGTTTGCTTCAGTCTGTAAACAAATAGTAAAATAAATTCTTTTATTCCCATAATGTATAATAAGCAATGGAGTGTAAAACGAAATCTCTTCAATGTTGAATGAAATTTCCTGAAGCCCAAAAAGTGAGCTTCCTTCCTCAAGGGAAGCCTTTTAAAGTCATGGGTCACAGTTCCCTCATGCCCTCCATTTCTATAGCTGCTTCTATAGCTGTCTCTCAGATGTTCTTAGATAATTTATATGTAGAAGGGATGGAGTTGTCCTTTTGTTCTCTGTTGGAACAACTTTGTTGGAACAGGAGGTCCTGGTCACAGCTATCCTCTTAGGTATTAAAATGATGGTGAAGCTGAATAAACATTATGATGAAGAAAAAGAACAGAAGCTACTACAATGTTACAAAGATCTGTCCACAACATTTATTGAAAAATAATTGCCTGTTCCCTTCCTACATTGCTAGCTATGCTTTAATTTGAGGTATGGTGGACATAACCATTTTTAACTATAATTTGAACGTAGAAACACAGTTCTGCTCATTCTTATTACAGTCAAAATTGTAGTCCTAATATCAGTCATTTAAATGGAGTAGCTGTCTCTTGACACCTGGCTCAACACTTGTCTTAGGGGCCAAACCCTGCTGCAGAATAGGAGGTAAACAGAAAGCAGCAATGTACTTCAGACAGCAATCTCACTACTTTATTTGTAAGTAGAAAACATTGAACAAGTTTACCAAAACCAATTAAATGGAGCACTCTTAATCCAAATCACTTGTTCTTACTGCAAACTTTCTAAAGGACTGCTGTATTACTGCAAACATACTGCTACACTGGATATATTTACCCTGTGGTTATTGTACTTGAAAAGTAAAAAGTTCCATATTCCTAGTTTTAAATGCACAACTGCAACATCTATTAGCACAGACTGAGTATGCAAACTTTGCTGAGAACATCTGTGAAGGA